GAAAAACATTCGGCAACATCAGAAGCAGAAGCGTCGCGATCTGGCAACATTGAAACAAGTTTCGAGAAGGACCACGTGTATCGACAGAAGGCGAGAAGAGAAAATTTACATACTTAAGTACTAATAGTTCACGAAAATAATAATTTTCGTGAACTATTATTTCTTAAGTATGTAAAAATTTATTACATTTCCTGTTGTACAAGGGTTTTACCTAATTCTTTAACCGTGTCAGAGTGAATCCGTGCTATAAAAGTATCGTGTTATATGGGGGATGGTACCAATTCTTGAACCGTGTTAGAGCGAATCCGTGCTATAGAAGTGCCGTGTTATACGGGGGTTACCTGTATAATGTAATGTGCATTTTAATTCAAATCATTTTCTTGTTCTGTTGAATACAAGATTTCCTATTTATAATTAATATTTTGGAGCATTTACATTTGTTTATAACTAGAGTACAGTAGAGCATCCATTTATCCGAATCAATTGGGGACCAGGGTCGTTTGGATAACTTATTTTTCGGATAACCGATTACGTACAAAAAAATATATTAGCCTATCCCACATTTAAATTTTTCTCCGTTGCGTGTCGCTTCGCATTGAATTTTCGTCAACATTAAGCCTAACGTAAATTTTTAAAAATAATAATCGTGGCTATTGTATCGTTAAAAATTATTTCTTTATTTTGTACAAACAAAATAAATATATCGAAAAATATAAAAACAAAAAAATTATATTTTGGAAGTTAATTTAGTATCAAAAACGTTCTATTCAGCACGACACAGTCCGACCGGAATGCTTTCGGTTAACCGACATTTCGTTCGATTGGCTTTCGGATAAACAACACTCTACCGTACAGACAAGTTATCATTTCTATAGAAAATACTAATGTTAATGCCATTTGTTTCACTGTGAAAAGAAACTATAAATTTATTGTTTCACTCCATCAATTTACCCTCCACCTTACGTCAACTATTTCAAGTTTAATCACACTTTAGTATAGGTCAGTATTACGTTAAAAAATGAATGTTCTCGAGCATTTTATGCAGCAAAAATATAATTTATACATTACCAAAATAATCATTTGTGGGTGTTCATATATGTTAATTGTTCTCGAGTACTAGAATAATTTTAAATGGTAAAAATGTAATTTACACATTAAAAAAATCATGTGTGTGTGTGTTCATCAATGTTAAAAAAAACATTATTCTTGCACATTATAGCCATTTTACATAGCAAAAATGTGATTTAGACAAAATTAATTTTAAAAATAATCATTTATGTGTATATTATGAGAGAAACTACATTTATTTTAACTTTGTAAACTCAGCACGTGCTGAACTTGTGCTAAATAAATGTGTCCAGAGAAATATACATATTTAAACTCTTAAATTTGTCAATTACAAACGAAATACAATTAAAATGTGATTAAAATACTTACATGGCTTAGGCCTGGGTCTTGGAGACAATCGTGGACTAGTAAAATCTGAATTTAAATCTCTGGGCATCCTATCCCTATTTCTGGAATCATTTTCAGCTCTTAAACGAGCTTCTAAACTAACAAGTTTGTTATGAAAAGAAGTCATGGTCGCCATTTTAAGTCTTTCAACGTAAGCCTAACGTAAGATTGATTCAACTTATGAAATCTTAAAATAATTTAGCAAAATTAAATTCTCCAACACTACGTTAACTATCGCGAATGACTTATTAATACGTTACAATAAACAAATATGAAATTGGTAGGCATTTTATTGATAATAACACTAACGTCTTCCACACAAATTCCACCGTGCAGTGGTTCCATTCGCTTGCGACACCTGGTGCAAGTTTTCATTTTTAAAGAAATCTTCGGTAGTAATATACAAAAGTTCTGTTCCGTATTTACTTAAAGAAATTAATAATTGAAATTTATTACAGACTTTATATCTTTTTAATGTAAATTTTCTGATTTGCTTACTGATTAATTCAAATTTTTTATATTATAATACATTTTAAAAACTTTCTCCTTCCTATGGGCACGAAGAGGGTCTTCTCTTAGCGAGCCTATTATGGGGTGGGCCAGGCTTACAATAAGGCTGTAAGAGTAAAGGCGGGGTCCCCACATATTCGGACGGACCACCCCCGAAAAATTCCTGAGGTTTTTTGACCAGTCCGGATCCGATTTCAGGTCCCTAGAGTGGCCGAGCCTGTCACTCTAGGGACCTGGGCCGTGTTCAGTAACGCAGAACACCTAAGTTAGAATTCTGAGTGGCTTAGTAGGCGGAATTCTTTTATGAATGAATACATAAAAGAAGCTGGTGGTGGGAGGAGTCAAGCAGTAGTTAGAAACGAGTTCAACAATCGCAGCATAACTAGACTTAGCAAGAATTCTGCGTTACTGAATACGGCCCTGGAATCGGTTATGTAAATCTACATCAGCCAACGACATATAATCACGGTTACTAGATAAACTAGTTGGGAAGCAGAGCAGGATTTTCTGTCTAGAGCACTATAAGCGCTGCTGTTAGGATTGAGACTAAAGGGGGTCGAGTACATACAAAACGTATGTAAATTGATGACGTAAGTCGACTTCTAAATATAAATTAAAACGTTCCCGAATGTAATTACAGTGGGTGATCATATTATTAGAGCCACTTGTTAAAACTAACAAATAGTCAGTAATACTGTAAACATTTCAATACAAAATTCATAATTAAGTCTTACTATTTTTTTGGTCCTAGCAGATACTTACACGTTTCAAATTAGTTGACTATTTTATTTCTGGCAACAATAACCATTAATAGGATGCTATTTTGCGATAACACTGTCATTCAACAGTCTGTAGCCATTTCAGTACCATCTACTTAATTCGTAATTTGTTTTAAACGTTTTATTGACTTGTTGTGGGGGTAATATTGTTGTTAAAGTATATAATGTTTAACGTGATGTTATAATGCCATTTTATATAAAAAGTCGTTACGATTATGAGCTTTTCATTATTAGGTTATTTTAGTCATGGGGAAAGTTAATGACCTCACCCCTAAGAAAATTAGTGAAATTAAATCTCTCATTTTAAATACTGAGCATTCAAATAGACAAATTGCATCAATTGCAAGCGTTTCAAGGGCTTCTGTTGATAGAATTAAGAAGAAACTTGACACTAATGTGGATTTAATTTCGAACCGAAAGGGGAAATGTGGCAAAAAAAATTACTATACCCAGAGATGAGTGTCAAATAAAAAATATCTGTATGGAGAACAGAAAGTCATCTCTGAAATTGTTGGTAAAAAAGATTCAGGATGCTAATATAAATACATCACCAATGATGACTCATCGTCGTCTTAATTAAAGAACTTGGGCTTGCGTTTTGGCATCCAGCAAAAAAGCCGCGGCTTACGCCCACTACGATGGCAAAGACATTGCAGTGGTCAAAAGATCACAGAAACTGGACTGTTCAATATTGGGAAAAGGTAAATCTATGGTTTTGTACTAAATTATAAATTAAATGCCTTTTTTTAATCATATTTTGAAGGGTTTAACGACTCTGCTGATTTTTTCAGGTTTGTTTTTCTAACGAGTCTTCGACTCAGATTCTGACTGATAAATCAGGGTTTGTAAGGACTGTATAGTAAGAAGAGTAAAACACCCTGTAAGCATTATGGTGTGGTCTGCCATCAGTAGCCAAGGTACTGGCCTACTGGCCGCTTGAACACTGTAGTGGGCACAATGAGACAAGACCAATATATGAAGGTCTTAGACACAAAGATTCTTCCCCAAGTTCAGGAATGGTATCCAAATGGCGACTTTTTTGTTTATGCATAACTCTGCTCCTTGCCACAAGGCTAAAATAGTCACAAAATACCTGGCAGATAAACAAATTGAGGTTTTGAAATGGTCTGGAAACTCCCCAGACCTTAATCCTATAGAAAACCTTTGGGGAGCTGCTAAAGAGAGAAGTTTCCAGGGATCTTATCACCAACAAGCAGCTATTGATAGAGCATTTAATAGAAGGGTGGCAGAGGAGTGAAGAAATAAAAAAATTTCTTGAAATGGATACAAAGTATGCCTAGAAGAGTTGAAGTGGTGATTAATGCAAAAGGCAGTTCAACAAAATATTAAACATATTTTTCTACATTTATTTTTAGTTCTAGAAATACCAAGATAAACACCTGATTTGTATTTTTATTTTATCAATAAAACCCCTTAGAAACAAGTAAATAAAGAAATTTAGACATTTACGTTGTGGCTCTAATAATATCATCACCCACTGTAAATTCAGAAAAGAAAAGTTAAATCTTTTTTCAAATTTGCAAGCCTACGCTTCCGAATAAATGACAAAAAGTTATGTTTAATATGATCTAAAATTGCACGATTAATTTTTATTTTTTAAAATAAAAAATTATTTAAAGGCGTTAAAATTATTTATCTAAATACATAAAATTACTTGTCCTGACTGACTGATTCATCATCGCCCAGAGCAAACCGCTGGACCTAGAGGTGAAATTTTGTACACAGTTAGGGTACGTCATGAAAACGCACAGAGAATAAATTTTTCGAAATTCTTCCGCGGGGGGAGAGGGAGTGGATTAAGTGTTAACCGGAAGAACGGCTTCCACTGTACTATTTTAGATGCGATTTTTCGTTTGAACTATGTTTAATTTTCATTGAGCACTTAGATGTATTAAATTAATAACATTTCGGACATTGTTATAAATATTTTTATCTATTTCGATTTTAAAAAAGTTCGAACCGTTTTAAATTCGAATTTGTTATCGCGTATCGGTTCGATTATAGAACAATTGTAAACGTTCCAGAAAATTGATCAAATTGAAAACAGTTCGTTTGATTCTCGGCAATTCTCATCATTCTCGGCGGTAGGTGTTATATAACAATTACTATGATTGTTGAAATACTGAATATAAATGGTGTTTGCTTGCAAAATCCTCGCTGGCAAAGCCGCGGGTAACAGCTAGTCTATATATGTAATCGAGACGAGTTGATAATAATAATAATGTTACGAGCTGTGGGTCTCAGGATATAAATTCAGAATACGGGTTATCGAAACTGACGGTTTTTAGGTACACTAACGACAAAAAAAAAAAAAAAAAACGATATGTAACTCGTTAAAAGAAAAAAATCTCCAACGTTCTTTTTTTCGAATCTCCTCTTTTTTCTTCGGAATCGTTCTTTTCTCTTCCTCCACTCTCCGCACCATGGTGCTAGTCTCCTCCGAAGCCTGCGCGACAATAATATTAAACAGAGGCTCACGTTCGAAAAATAGGCCGCAGCCTCCCTTGGTTACCGATGGCGAAAGCATGGTAGCTGGCCCAAGCATGGCTACTGCAATGCCATCAACAGATGTGAAGAATCAACCTACCCTTGGTGTTTCTGTGGCAATGCATCCACAGACCACAAAGGCTGGAAAACCACGCCAACGGATGAAATGGACAATAGGAATGAACGAGTTTATCATTCGCACTTACTACGCAATCACAAAACTCGAAACAAACATAACAGCATACAGACAACAACTACACCATAGATTCACACAACAACATACCTCACTGTCACAGAACAAAGGGTTGTTGATCAAAAGAGAACAATTATACACAACAACCTTATTCCACAAACAACACTTGAACTTATCAAACAACAGGTTGCTGATCAAATACATCAACAGACAGAAACATTTAACATTAATGAAGATCACGTAACCTGTCAGGATAATCCAG